TCTGTGGAGAGATAGTGTATTTGCAATCTGTGGAGAGATAGTGTATTTGCAATCTGTGGAGAGATAGTGTATTTGCAATCTGTCGTCTTCTTTATACACCAAGAGTCTGTCTCATCCGGGATTATATCGTTATCGACTCGTATTTTAATGAAAAACGACGTTAAAATAAATTTCGAATTTATAATATATTTTACTGTTTTACACCCCACTTGCCGTTTCCGTTTATTTATGTTCAAACCAGCATGTGCCGTAACCCTTGGCGCTCAAGTCTAAAAAAACAACTTAATAATCGCCAGCTAAACAGCCAAAAAAAAAAACGCAACGAAAAAACATTGACATTTTAATTCAATTTAAAAACAACTGTTTTATTTTATTTCTCAAATTTATAATACATAAAAAAAACGTGGTATGGTCGTACCACGGTAGCGCTAAAAGTGTGTATTGAAATGTGCACTCTCTCCCGTCGCGCATGTTAAACTTCATTTTGCATTAAAAATACAAGCACACAATATTATTAATAATAATATTAACGTGTACTATTGTATAATATTATTATTATTAATACTATTGCAAAGTGCAAACTTTTTGCCCAAGGACATATTATTTCTATCAGTGGATACTTCGAACTTAAGATTACAAAAAATACAGTGACAAATATACCACGGTTAGTGTGAACGATGTGATATCAATGGCGTACACTGACCAACACGTCAAATTGTGTAGTCTCTGTTCTCGTCCATGAAACTGGACATCTGGACAATATCCAGATTATACAGGATAATGTCCACGTTGATTGAAGTGGCCGTGTCGCTGTCATCGAATAAACTGGAACAAAAAAGTAAAATCCCCCAGATTAGCTCTTATTTCATCGTATCAGTTAATCTGTCCAAATTAGCGACAGATAATCGTAAATCCTATATTGTGTGGTCATTAACGTGACAGTGTGTCGTGTCATATTACGGAAAGGATCTACACCTATTCCCACCAAGTTTCTACTATGACTACACGTGCTATGCGACTAATTGCACGCCCAATGTCGACCCCTGAAACGTAATAATAGTAATTTGAGTCAAAATGCTATTGATTAAGACATATATTTGGATGCCGAGTCAGGCGGAAAGCTTAACCCAAATTACCCGGCATTCCGAACAATGGGTATTACCGTGAACGCGGAGACACTAAATATTCCCATATTTCAATTTAAACTACGATCTATAAATTGGGTTGGCAGGCATATTGCTCATATATCCCCGGACAAGTGGGAGAGGAGCTACATTAGGAACGGTGAGTAAATGAAGGTGTCATCCATTTTCTAATTCACGATATATCACCGTTACACTTTTAACAGTCAATATTTTTGCGTACATATCGGCTCTGTATCCGATGGGTGTTCTCGAGTTGTTTTGAACACTTATTTTACAGCTAAGGCATTTCCGCACAATCCTAATACTGAATTGCTGGCATAAATATCGTAAAATAAGTTAAAAATAAACATGAACATATTCTCTCAAAACATTGAGAATTATTTGCATTAGAGTCCTTGTTAGCAGCCATTGCTGCTTTATTAAAAATGCCGTGTGTTTGCAGATGGGATAAGCCAGTCGCGTAAAATTCGCCAGAAATTAAAACATGGTTGTCATGTAAATAGTCCGTTATGAATGGGTGGATAAACGGCGAATTTAATCAAATTGATGCATTTTTACACGCGAGCATAATTTGCCGAGCACACAACAATAAACGACACCGAAATAGACTATAATCTCCATGCTAACTGTCATGAAAAGGTCGGAAGGAATATTGCCAGCAAATCGGATTACGGAGCGCTTTGAAAAGGATCTACGAGAGCGACCATCTCAAGACTACCTGGGTTACGCTGCATTGTTACAAACTGACAATGTTTCATTTGCACGCACCTCTAAGTTTACCAAAATAAACGCATATAATCATTTGAATGAAAATCATTGTCATTATCCACTTTTCAATTTTCCTTGTTTTATTTTTTTTCTTGATAGCTATTTATATTTTAAACTTATTTTTGTTTGTTTAATTATTTATTTATTTATTTCTACGGCTAACACTACAACAGATTATACTGATACTCCCAGCTTTACTGTTGGTTATGCTGTACAAACTGAAACCAAATTTATATATATGAAAACAAAAAAAAAGCTTATTTTTATCGTATTCATCTTTGCACGACATGAATAGATAATTTGTTCATTTTTTTCTGATCTAATTATTGTGGAATTTATTATAAATTACATTAAAATAACAGGATGACTCATATCGTTCAATTTGACCCTAAGTCGCAGATTTGATGATCGTATCTCGCCTTGCCCTCGTACAACTGCTCACAGCGCGAGACGCTTTCGATTAACAGAATTGTTGTTGTTAGCCTCTAGCGGTCGGTGCAATGAATGCATTTTTCTCTAAGGGGTAGTCTTTATTCTTCTTCTTTTTATAATAATAAAAAAAAACTGCAATTTGAGGATTCAAGTACATAATAATATTGCGATAAAGGTCTCCCTGTGACGGCGATGACAAAGTGCTTAACGCGTCGTGGTAATCGGAAAGATAGCCATACAGTGGTTTTGAATATTGTGTTTCGATTGCGATATGTGATGAGTACAATAAAAGTTCATTCTGAGTGTAAATTGATAACTATGTTACACTGTGTCAATGTATAAAAAAAAGCTCGACGTGTAGCAATATGCGCGCCTAATAATATCGCTACATTTTACTTGCAATGTGATTAATTTGTGGTCGTTTTGCATTAGCAATCAACAAAAATTAAAGCATGCCTAGAAAATCATCGTTTCGATGTACAGCAGTTAAAATAACTTTACCATATTATGAACTTATAATGTACAGACCGACACCAGTGTGAGTCCGAATTTACCATTTACCCGTGATCGCGGGTGCGCTTGATTCGAATACGAAAGTTGGTGTGATTGTTTACAAATAACCGTATAAATGATTGCTTTTTGTAAAAACAAAACAGGCCCCTTTATTTTTTTTACCTACATTCGCTTACCAGAAGACACTAGAATAGACAGGTGGGCACAGTACTGAGCACTGGAGCGTAGAATAACCCTATCATTGCTACTAATATGGGGCACTGGTCATATCCATTAGTATTATTGGATGGCAGAATGATTGTTTACAAAACGGAAGCGAGATCAATTAAATATCATGCCATAACAGTAATACCGCTGTGATGTCGATATGAGAAGAATGTGTGCATATGATTAGTTCTCGTTTCGTTGTATTATTATTGTCCCGACCAGTGAAATATACACCGTTGAACTGACATGTGTTATACGCACACATCAACGGCCGAAAATAAAAACTAATCAGGCAAATTGATACTAATTATGCAAATTTGAAGCGCACCGCTCATTAAAACAAGAAAAAGGCAGCAATTTGACGACGCGCCCTAATAATAAGAATGTCAATCTTATCAAGAGCTATAGTAACAGCCATTGTTGTTGTGTTCATTACATAATATTGTATATTTCAATGTCATCGTTGAGCTGTAACAATGGAATTGACAACGCAATCGACATTAGGCAATATATCGACGTGAGTCGGAATGGTCTGTACATGACGTCATTGCGGTTCAAAGTTCGAACATTGCTGAACATAAAACAGACGAGATGCTGCATGGAAAGTCTGTCGGTTAGAAATGTTGACATCTATAAACAATGGACGCACACCAGTTAATACCTGAGTGGGACACTCTCGCTAGTGTTATCAACATGACAAAAGTATACACTTAAAATTCTTTCTGTAGAGGTCAGCTTAAAATGAGAATATGATAAACTCTCTACGTGAAAGCACTTTCATAGCATTCGGAAAACACTTGACAAAATAAAATAATGAATAATAACACAACACTTTGAATTGACGCCATATACTGTAAGTTGTGGAATAACTCCAACATGAATAAACGTGACCCACGCTATTGTTTTTTTCGATGGCATTAATTGTAATAACGTTTTCTGTTATTCGGCGAATAGTATCGAGCTTTCACAGTGCCCATTTAAAAGATTGTTTTGTTGGAAATTATAGCAAAAATTGAAAAAGCACTCTCTAGGACTCATTGGGGAGCTGTAACTGGTCGCAATTAGTGAGTGAGTGCTGTGATCGGGATGGCGTCGTTTGAGGTAACATGCACATCTGTCAGTCTTGCTACAGGCGATTCCCTCGGGTAGCAACTGACTAGAGGTAGTAACGGTATAATTTGTTTAGACTACACAAGCCAAATTGCGGGCATATTTGGCAACATTTTAAGCAGAAATTGCGTCTGCTCGAATATTTATTAGTGTATTGCTCTGAGTTGTGATTTCTCGAATGAGACGACGTTGTCTTAAATATAGCTAGAGCCAGAGACACTATGCTGGCCTTCTGTTACGTGAATAGAATTCGTAATAAATTTAATGCCACTGTCTTATAGTTGGGCCTTGTGGGGAGTTTGTTTCTGCAGAAAATTGAGTTCTTCTTTAAAAAAATACAAATATGTAATGTTCCAGTATTGCAGGGTCACTATTTTAAACATTTTTCAAAGACGCCATATATTGTACTCGTTATAGGAATGATTAAATAGAAAATTAAAAACACGGGAAATGTTTCCTGGCTTTCATTTTTGTTCTTATAACAGAGCATATCCATTCTGTATTGGTGTAAAACAGAGGAAAGGCGGCCTCTCTCTCATATCGGTCTTATCACTTCCAATTTGCAATGCCATGCTTTACGCTTCACCAGTTTTACGTGATGTATATTTTATTTACAAGAAATGGACGTCACTGACGAGTATTCCAAGGTCTTTACATGAAACGATACTAGTTTCAACTAAGACAAATTAAATATACGAATGAATATATCAATGTATTGTTTACTACAGAATCAAACGTATTTTCTTGATAAATATTAATAACTTTGAACTTTTTTTCAGAAGTCGGCAATAGAAGGAATTTCCAGTCGTACATTTACTACTGAAAATGGTGCTACCAACGATAAAGCAAGAACCCCGTGAACTATCGTCGGAAGCAGAGGTGAACGAGAACGAACTTACTGGGCCCAATGGACGGTCACGAAGTGAAACACACCTGACTCGTGAAGAACGAAGACGGCGGCGACGAGCTACGGCAAAATATCGAACAGCGCATGCCACTCGGGAACGAATACGGGTCGAGGCATTTAATGTGGCTTTCGGAGAACTTCGGAAATTGCTCCCGACTCTACCGCCAGACAAGAAACTATCCAAAATTGAAATTCTTCGTCTAGCCATATGTTATATATCATATTTGAATCATGTGTTGGATGTATAGTTGCCATGGTTACCTACAATATATATTAAAGACACCAACAACGAAAGATGTATGCCTCTTTCAAGACTATGTGTTGGTTCAGTCGTACGGACTTTACAGAAATCAGGTGTAGAATAATACAGCATTAAATGAAACTAAGTTGTGTACATATTTTGAACTTTATGGTTGTGATTATTCATAATTTGTTCCGTTACTTTGTAATAAATTAATCAAAATTGGAGAGATTAATGGACATGGCGTGTTATATGTGGGATTGAAATCTGAAGACACCGTCATGAACTTGACTGTACGCCACACTCGAAACATTGCCATAGTTACTGTGACAACTAATTCCAATACTTCAAGGGAGAATCAAGCAGCTAATACATCGACAATATACTTGCCGGCAGAACAACAACAGCAACAACAACGATTCTTCTTAAATTCAATGCCGTGTGTTTGTTTGAATAGACGTCCGCCATCTCTGTGATTGTACATGTATTTACCTTTTAGTTTTAACAGAATACTACCAGGGACTAAGTGCAATATAGTATGTCAATATACTTATGAGTCATGGGCACTTCGATGGGGCTTCCAATGACCTACCATGTTACGAACCACTTCCCAGACTTACCGTTTTTATTTGTATATGGTTACAATAATTTGTAATTTGGTTTGAATCACGTGTTCAATTTTGGAAGTAGTGCAAAACACTTTCACCCCTATTTTTGAGATCAAATCACGTGACAACCGTCTGCAAAGCGCGAGATGCTAACCGAATAATAACTTCAAGCTGTTATAGGTGGTTCATTACGTCACGAGAACACAATCTTTGTTAATAAAATATATATATAAGACAAGTCGTAATTCAGTCGTATATGTGTTCCATGGTTGCTATGGTTGTATGAGCAGTCAAATCTTTGTTTATATCCAACACGTGACAATTTGTACGACACATGGTTGATTTACAATACGAAACTTCTCGCAGCACTACTATACTTTTCACAACTTTAATTTTCACATTAATACTCACACTAATTACTTATAATAGAAACGTAACTATTGCAATACCATTTGTTTTAAAACGCTTCTTTTATATATCAAAGTGAAACGTAACTTCTTGTAATATAAACCTAAATAAAACCAGTATATATAACTTTAATTTTCTTACAGCGCAACTTTTATTCCACCTAAAACAATTTACTTTCTCAGAAGTGAATTCGTCACCATTGCCACTGCAAAGAGAAAACAATTAATAAATCGACAAATATTACATTTCAAAAATTTTCGTTTCCTAATATGGTAGGATGAAAATAGCCAGTGTAATAGCGCTGTAACGGCATTACGGTGACATATGTAGGATGAAAATACCCAGTGTAATAGCGCTGTAACGGCATTACGGTGACATATGTAGGATGAAAATAGCCAGTGTAATAGCGCTGTAACGGCATTACGGTGACATATGTAGGATGAAAATACCCAGTGTAATAGCGCTGTAACGGCATTACGGTGACATATGTAGGATGAAAATAGCCAGTGTAATAGCGCTGTAACGGCATTACGGTGACATATGTAGGATGAAAATACCCAGTGTAATAGCGCTGTAACGGCATTACGGTGACATATGTAGGATGAAAATAGCCAGTGTAATAGCGCTGTAACGGCATTACGGTGACATATGTAGGATGAAAATACCCAGTGTAATAGCGCTGTAACGGCATTACGGTGACATATGTAGGATGAAAATACCCAGTGTAATAGCGCTGTAACGGCATTACGGTGACATATGTAGGATGAAAATACCCAGTGTAATAGCGCTGTAACGGCATTACGGTGACATATGTAGGATGAAAATACCCAGTGTAATAGCGCTGTAACGGCATTACGGTGACATATGTAGGATGAAAATACCCAGTGTAATAGCGCTGTAACGGCATTACGGTGACATATGTAGGATGAAAATACCCAGTGTAATAGCGCTGTAACGGCATTACGGTGACATATGTAGGATGAAAATACCCAGTGTAATAGCGCTGTAACGGCATTACGGTGACATATGTAGGATGAAAATACCCAGTGTAATAGCGCTGTAACGGCATTACGGTGACATATGTATAATAAAAAAAGAGAATATATTGCGATGAACGCATTTAGCGTGCATTTTTGTTTTCAGATTTTAACAAAAACTGTCATTAAGAACTGTAATCTACTTAATTAATTCGGGGTCACCGACCTTCAGTAAAAATAAATAAACACACAAATTGAGCCAGGCATACAGGCAGTCACAAGCATATCACAACTTGCCAGAGCTAGAAAAAACATCAGTACGACTTGTCAGCTTATGTAATATGTTCCGCGAATACGTTTTAAAAGCACGACAAAAATGTTTCTACAAATACATTCACGTTGAAGATACACTTATTTATAGTTGCAAATTTCAAGTTGTAATCTAAAATGTATTTCATCCTCAATTCTATGTAGAACGAAATTCAAGAAAGCAATCACAATCGGAAAAAAAGGTGTACCATTGCATTCAATGCCGGTAAATTTGTATCAAGGGAATAACAAATACTAGTATAGATATTGGCTTCACAGTCAATAAATGTTTATTGATTATTATCAAGAGAATACGCGGAAAATAAAGGCATACTATTGCCCTCATTACTAATAATACTTTTCATTATTAACAAGGAATAGGTATATTACTCAATCTGATTAAAATAAGATCCTAGTTTTGGCTTTTTTTGTATATTTATTTTATTGTGATCTAGTATTTATTTTTTGTATTTAGGTTTTGGTAATTGTGAAAGCCAACATGTATGTAGTGCGGAATAAAAAAAAAATCACAAAATCAAAGTAAAATAATAAAATAAAAAGGTATTAATGACAAAAGCAATAAAAAATAAAATAAAAATAAGTTTATAGCCAAAATAATTAAAGCTCGTACACAGCAGATTTTAATCAGATTGGTTTATTACTGTTCTTACTAACAGTAAACGTGTGCTCAATATTAACTACAAAAAACAACGGGGATTATATAATCCATATCCATTTCATGTTCTGTACACCATCTGACGTTATCAACTGACACGTCGTGGCTCAAATATCGTCACATCGTAGCTACGACCGGAAGCACATAATAACCTTGAAGACAACACTGGATTAGTGCGCTGGATTAGTAAAAAACAAAACAAAACAATACTAGAAATTGTGTTTAACAATATGACTTTTTTCTATGGTTAGTGATGGAAATATCGCATAGTTCGTTATGAGGGTCCTGGGGTGGAAATATCACGTTACCGCTCTCATCTAGTGCTAGAACATCTCTTAGATTAATTACAAGACAGAAACCGATAATAGCCTCAATGTTAAGTTGCTAGATTGGCACGTTTCCCATCTTTCTATCTGGCTATGTCAATAAGCTAAAGTTGTTGTAAATGATGATATTTTTGTTGTTGCAGTATACAATAAGCAATTATTCAATGCTTGTACTATAAAAATGGAAAAACGTAGAACCATTTTAGTCAAATAAATAATAATTTTCTTTCATCGAAAAGATGCTTCAATTCAAAATCGTTACAAATCTATGACCCCACGTGTGTAAATATCATGGCAGTTAATGTAATGTTTACAAATAAAATGAAGTCGTATAGGAATATTGCATGTTTACTGCTTCGTTGACGTAAAACCACAAAGTCAACCATTATTGTATTACCCGTTCACAATGGCTCTATCTTTTCTAGTTGTCTCTGGAAAATGCACGTGCACTGTAATCACGTTAATGGCTTGTGACAATTGATAACAGCGTTTTTATTTGTTTCTGGTCTAAAGACGGTTACTAATTACCACTGTAGATATACCAAGCCCTAAGCATCATTCAACATCCTTTGTTGTTGCTGCAATTGCATGACCCCCTCCCTAATACAAGATGAGAATACCAAGATGAACTTACGCCCTCACAGTCAGTACGTCTTCTTACTAATGAAATTTATTTTGTGAACACTTACTCTTCTAACTGGGTCAGTTATCTCTTCATGGGTGGTGTAATACGAATCCACCGTACACAATTAACACAACGCAAATTTTTCAACTCATACACACACAGATAAATAAATATTTGGCATCACGTGACCTCTGCTACACCCCCAACATGAATATTCATTCATCCTTCGTATTTATAATATATTAAGTCTGTGTTAGAATGGATGACAGTGAGAATTACAGTAACGTTTGCAGTAATGATTGGTTTCAGTGAATTACAGTAAATAATTGCTGTGATGTTTGAAACTAGGTTACCCTTTAAAAATGGAGCATGGACAAATTTTATGAAAAAATATTATCGTTGGAGGAGACCGAAAGGTAACGATGAAGCAAGAACGATTGTACTAATATACAGCAGTACAATCCAATATGAAAAAGTGGGTGGGATTTGATCGCGATTGTGTGCACATCAGCAGAACAAATGAAAATACTAATGGTCAACAATATAGCGATTCATAAATTTAAAGAAAGTAGCAAAGCGAAAGAAACAGTTATATATATCTTGCAATTTGCACGTGACATGCATAGCAATAACCGTTGATACTGCACGTAGTGTATCAGTGACTGGGCTCAGGTGGCGCTAACGAAGACAAGTTCCGTCTTCAATAAATAAGTTGGTTTTATCCTAGTTGCAGAATTTATATTATATTCACTACATCCCACGCCTAATTAGCTGATTTCACTCGGGCCATCTGAGGCCCGTCACTGGCTAACACAAAAACTGACTATCGCAATAATCAATGTTTCTGTAACGCGAGATCTCGCGGGATTTGTGGGCAGATAAGACATAAGTGTATTTTACTAATATAATATTTTAACGCCTTGGAAGAGATTAAATTTAACAGTATTGTAAATTTTGTATAACTATGCTAAGACTTGTTAAATTCACCTCCGATTTTGATAAATACCTCATTTAATTGACACACAAATAAATTCATTCTGTCTTTCATATTCATAAGAATAATTCCAGTCAGGAACGA